CCAGGCTCCGAGGACAGGCTCTGAGGACAGAGGGCAGATGAGTCCCATGCACTGGGCTGTCACTGCACCATCTTGCTACAAAAATGCTGCATCCCCTCATTTTGTGTCTCTGAACTGACCCTGGGGCGGTGAGTGGCTGTGACTCCGTGACAGTGACCGGAACGCTCGGGATCAGTCTAGCAGCCTCCAGTCACCAGGCCAAGACGCTCTGTTGCTTATTTGTCTGTTTGCTTTCATATGGATCAAGTAGGAATCTTGGGTTGTCTAGGACTGTCTTAGTTCTGCAGACTCCAAGCTCACAGGTCCTCTGCGATGACTTGGGGAGGAAATTTATCAGCATGGATACACTGGTTCGAAGTTTTTTTATCCTTGAATAACTGGGGGTGGTCTGTTTGCTCGTTGAGCTGACTGAAATGTGAGTAACTTGCATGACATTAAATGAAGATACCAGAAACTCTTAGATATGGTTAAAAGAGACATACAAACACAGGGAGGTGGGAGGATTGGAGTGAATGTATTAATCTGTCCACTCATCTTCATCCCCAAGATGACCCAGAAAAATACATCAGTGCTAGGATGCCAGCATCTTTAAAGGGACCACAGTGGCTGCCCACTGTGGGTTGAGGGGTGGGTAGAAGATTATTGTTTCTGAAATGAGCTCAGTGATTTCAGTGGGGAAGATGGGAGCCCCAAGGCAGAGACCAGCAGCAGAGCTGAAGGGCCAGCGTCAAGAGTCAAGATGCTGTGACTCCTGGGAAGGTCAGCCGGGCCTGAGGGCTGTTCAGGGACCTAGTCTGCCCGCGTCTCTGGCAGGGATGATCCATCATGGGGTCTCTCCCGGCTTCATAAACTGCCAGAGAAAATAATGTCACCCGGAATTTATTTCCACCTCTAAGTGAAAAGAGCCTCCACCTCCGGTTCATCTTTTGCATGGGCAAACATCACGCAAGGCTGAAATTTCCTTAGAGCAGAGCTTCTCAAGCTTTCACGTGTGTTTGTATCGCCAGGATCTGTAGGCCCTGGCTCAGCAGGGCTGAGATGCTGCGGTCCTCACCGGCCCCGAGGTGACACCACACCACTGCTCCCCGGCCCACGAGCAGGAGGAAGGCTGCCCCGTCCGCCCCGGCTCCGCTTTTACCAGAGCGGCTCCCCACTTTACAGGAGTCTCCTCTTAGATTTTCGTGGGAACAAAAGCAGCTCTAATTTAAAACAGATCTAACTTTTTTAAACACCTGGTCTAAAGATTCATAATAAAATTTGATTTAAAAAGAGGCAGAGGACCAACTAACTCCAGTTCCCATTGTTAAGAGCAAGAGAAGGCGTTTTACTCCGGGGCTGCCTTTCAGATGTGGTGGGTGCTCCGTCGCTTCAGTTACGCCTGACTCTTGGCCGCCCTCTGGACTGCAGCCCACCAGGCTCCACCGTCCACGGGGATTCTCCAGGCAAGAACACTGAAGCGGATTTGCCATGCCCTCCTGCAGGGGATCTTCCCGACCCAGGAATCGAACCCAGGTCTCTTATGTCTCCTGCGTTGACAGGAGGGTTCTTTATCACTTTTGCCACCCGGGAAGCCCCTTACAGATGGAGCTTTCAATTATCCTAGAAAACATTTTTGCAAAGCTTGCGGCCCCATGGACTGCAGCCCACCAGGCTCATCTGTCCATGGGATTTCTCAGGCAAGAATACTGGAGCGGGTTGCCGTTCCCCATGCCAGGGGATTTCTGCGACCCAGAGACTGAATCAGCGTCTCCTGAATTGGCAGGTGGCTTCTCTACCACTAACACCACCTGGGCAGCCTCTAAGGCCACTCACTGCAAAGCACTGTGAAGGCTGGATTCGCTTGATATCAGCTTTTGCAAAGTGAAATTCTCCATCCATGGCCCTCCCGACTGTGGAACCATCTCCCCTAAAACTGCACTTTCCTTTGGCACCTCTCTCCCCGGCCTGGGGTCCCATCTGGCAATTTCCACATGTGCATTTTTGTCGACCTGGCACTTCCTTTCAATCTCCTGCCATAGGAGAAGGAGAAGCCTCCTGTGCCCGAGGCCTGGAGTGCCGCCAACGAAACATTTCAGGTGGAGTTTGTGAGGACTCTTTGTGTAGGGATCACATTCCTGCAGTGAAATTATGAGGAAATGAGGAAAGGCAGGAGAAAATGGCTTTCAAATAGACATCACCTATGCATTTGACATGCTTCTAAATTTTGATAAATGCCAATGACTTTCAGTTCCAGAGAGGCAGGATATTTATTACTGGTTCACCTTCCGTTGGTCTCGATTCCTAACATGTTAATGTCATGTCCTTCCGCCTATTGAAGTTCTTTTCAAATTATACTCAGGGCTCCATTTAAATGTCACTTTCTCTGTGATGTCATTCTGGACAACCCTGTTCTTGTCAGAAATAATTGATCCCTGCTCTGCCCTCGTGTGTAGCTGCACAGTGGCTGCCAATAGATTTTAGATATTAATAACAGATTTATTATAGACTCTGAAGTAATCTTTATAGGGATATTGAAGAGTAGTTTTTAAAGTAACCCAAACAGATCTGGTAAATCCTTGTCCATTCTACCTGATAAAACACACGTAATTAAATTGTGTATGTGTTTCCATCTCTTATTGGGGGAGGGCATGGCAACCCACTCCAGTAGCCTTGCCTGGAGAATCCCCATGGACAGAGGCGCCTGGTGGGCCACAGTCCACGGGGTTGCGAAGAGCGACTAAGCACATATATGTTTTATCGGTGCACTTGAAAATTTTTTAAAATTAATTTATTTTTATTTTCGGCTGTGCTGGGTATTTGCTGCGGAGTGCCGGCTCTCCACGCTCGGTAGTGGTGGCACTCAGGCTAAGCTGCATCCACAGCACGTGGGTCCTCGTTGCCAGACGGGATCGAACCCGTGTCCCCTGCGTCGGCAGGCAGAGTCCCACTGGACCACCAAGTCCCTCTTGGGTCGCTATCACTGCAGCCTTTAACACAGCTAGTCTTACATGGCACACTCTTCTTTCCTGTAAGTTGCAAGATAATAAAAGAAAAAGATCATGTCTGTGTGTTCTTTCTAAATTTTTAAGGCAGTTCTCAAATGTTGCTTTCCACTTACAGCTATTACAAAATATTGGCTATATTCCCTGTGTTGTGCAGTACATCCTTGCGCCTGTCTTATGACCGACAGTTTGGACCTCTTAAACCCCCACCCTCACACTGACCCTCCGCCTCCCCACTAGTAACCACCCATTTGTTCTCTATATCCGTGAGACTGCTGCTTTTTTTCCCTCAAATTCACTAGTCTGCTGTTTTTTAGATTCCACATATATGTGAAATCATGCAGTATTTGTCTTTCTCTGACTTATTTCACTTAGCACAATACCCTCCAGGTCTATCCATGGTGCTGCAAATAGCAAAATGCTGCTGTTTTTTGTGGCTGAGTAGTATTCCATTGTCTCCGTCTATGTCTATGCACACCGCCCCTTCTTTACCCATCCTTCTCTCCTTGGACACATAGGTTGCTTTCACACCTTATTTATTCTTCACATTAGAGCTAATATCTACAAGCTGCCCACTCCTGTGAAACCCACACTATTGTAAGTGAAATTTGATGTATATACGTGTGAACACGATTTGGGGGGCGATGGATCTGTATAGTTCTTTAATTTCTTGAAAGAATCTGAGAACTTATAGAAATTAATACCCATTGGCCTAAAGAATCTCATGGTGAGTCTGATTAGGAAGCAAAAACCTGTTTATAGCACACCTGTCTTTGCAGTACTGCTCAAGCACTAATTTGGAGGTTCTAAGACTTGGATCTGGGGTGTTCGCTGTGTGGGAAATGGGGCGCGTGCATGCAGAGGCTCAGTTATAAGGTTTTCTGCTTCCGTGGTTGATGGTCGGCCGGCAGGCCTGTGCAGTACTTCACGCTTCCACTGGGAGGTGAGCGGAGGCAGGGGAAGTGGGGGCAGGCGGGGAAGGGGGGCGGCAGGGAAGGGGGGCGGCGGGGAAGGGGGCAGCATGATTAGCAGCTCCGGTGAGAGCGTGTTTGGCCGGAGTAAGGCGGCATTGGGATTACTGATGCGAATGAGGTTTGGGGATTTTCGCTGGATATCAATTATCCATGACCTACGGTCTCCCCGGCTACCAAGGACTTAATGTTGCCTGTAAGCTTAAATGATTTCTTTTAATTAAATGTAAAAGATCAGACCTACGAAGGCTGGGGAGCCCTGTGAGCTGGGGCTAAGACTCCCTCACCTGGGCTCAGGTTCTGGCCCGGGGAAGAATTTGATTGGCAGGAAATAGCGGGATTTCATTTTCTGTCTCTGATCCATTAATAGCCTGAGCGTGCCCAGGGCTGTCTTTGGGAGACCATCCTTATAAAGGGCAACTCTTCTCAGCCAGGAGGCAGGGGACTCTGGGAAGAGGCGAGGGGAGAGGGAGAGGGGTGCGGAATCTGAGAAACCCCGGGGCCGTCTTGTGCCCATCCTCCCCTCCCACCCCCATCCTAAACTGAAAGCGTGCCGGTCTGGAAGGAACGAAATGACACGCGCACTTCACAAGGCGTGTGTTGACGGCGTGGCTGGCTTGGCTGCCTGCAGCAGGTGTCACTTCGCTCAGGGTGGGCCCTGGGACCTGCGTCCCCTGTTCCACGCGTGCTGTGTTCTAGGGTTTCGCTCCCCCCTCCTGCCTGCACCCTTGCCTCTTCCCCACTCGTGGCGCGTGAATTCAGAAAGTAGACAGTCGAACGGCAAATGCCATGTCGTGTCCCGAATCATGAGTCTCCCTGGAAAGCAGGAGTATTTTTTCTTTCTGGAAGTCACTCTCATTTGCCTCACTTTTGTTGATTGCTGAGGGATGAAATCCAGCCGCCTCTTCTGCCCTCATGCTGGAGAGCAGAGACAGAAAAACAGCTCTGGGAGTTTTTCCAAAGGGCACTGGTGTCTCACCGGGCGAAGCCAGGGACTCGCTGCCAGGCAACTGCATGTGGGCCTGCTGGACCTGCCCCGCTGGACGAGGGGGGGGGCTCGTCCAGCAGCAGAAATCTGCATCTCCCCTCGGCTTCCTGGAAGTACAGAATGTAGTAGTAGCCTCGGCTCCCGGCGGGCCACACCACAGTACCACCTGCCGCAAGTAGGACGGCATCACCCGGTGCCTTGAGGGTACTGACACACTTACTGTAAGTGGGCTCAGAGAACCACGCAAGGCAAGGAAAACGCACCCAGGAGAGATTCCTGACAACAGCTCAGTGGGATCTTGTGAGCAGACTCAGGTCCAGAGCAGGTTAGTAATTGAGTCAGCGTCACAGAGACGGCTGCACATACCTTTAACTCTGCTCACATTTCTCGGGCTTACAATTCAGCCCAGGGCGTTACTGCATTTGGCTCTCTTCTTATAACTTTGCTTTCCACAAAAAAGAACCCAAGAGAAAGAGCGGTTACAGGAAGAGGAACAGAAGAGCAGTGTCTTCTCATTTGACTCGCAGATCTGCAGACCCAGAGGAGAGCTGACGTGAGTGAGTGGCAGGGTGCGTGCCAGGCCCCAGGCACACGCCAGCTCCTTGGCTGGCAGCACAGTCACGGTGACCCGTCCTGCCTCCCGCGGTGGTGGGCCACGGGGCCAGGCACGCGCTCCTGCCGCCGCGGGGACGGGGTGGGGGAGCATGTGCCAGGAGGGACAGAGACTCACCTTTGGGGCGCCTGTGCCATGACCCCAGCGGCTTTCTGAAGCTGAGCCTCTTTCCCCCTCGGAGGCCCCACTTCCTGCTGGAGTCCCACCGCAGCTCTGAAATCACTCAGGTCAAGGTCAGGTGACCGGAGCGGGAAGCCAGACGCAGGGCAGTGGATTCAGAGAACTGAACAGACGCCTGCACGGCCAGCTCCCAGCTGTGGCTCAGCGGATGTTCTGAGTCTCGGAGCCTAAATATTTGTGGATGAGAATCGCAGCTTGTGGAACCGGCAACGAATGAGTAGACTTGAAAGCTGAAGAGGGTGTGGAGACGTGATGACGGGCGAAGGGTCGGCCCGTCTCCTGAAGCCGCTCTGAGGACGTTTCTGTGCTTGAAGGGCTGACCGCTCTGGAGGATGCTGACGAGCAGGTACCGGAGTCCTCGGGGGAGCCTGGCCGTGGTGGTTCCTCACTGAGCAGGTGCTTGGCTCAAACCCAGCGCTGCGCTCATCCCCGACGTAACGGGAGAGAGACCCCCAAGCAGACGGCCGTGGAGAGAGGGCTCCTGGCTTCCGGCCACCAGATGTCACAGAGCAGCAGGTGGACGCGGGAAGGGACAGTCGGCCAGAACCCCTGGCTGGAGGGTAGCAGCTGTGTAGGCAGCCTTGGGTCACCACCTGGGTCCCGGGAGGAGCTGCACGGGGGAGCACTGCTGAGGCAGGAAGGGAGGACGGGGAGCCATGGGTTTTGCAGAGACCCTCATGTAATGAGAGCCCAACATGTACCAGTGAGGACGAGGAAGACCAGGACCCAGGGTCCCCACAGGGGCTCCCCCCGATGGAGGCTGGACGTTTCCAGGACCCAGGGGAGCACACGGGGGCTCCCACCTCTGATGGAGGCTGGGCAAAGCGACAATATTCACTGGGTCCCTTCTGAGCAGCAGGTCAGGGAAGGAGGGCGGAAAGGCGCTCTACTTTCTACCAAGCATAGAGGGTCCCCCACCCGTATCTCTTCACCCTCCCCTGTCTAAAGCATAAGCATCACTTCAGGAGGCTACACCAACAGCTGCATTATTCCAGACGCCCAGCTGGCTCTCTCAGCACTCCCCATCCCACGTTTACTGGGAGTCATTTACGTGGGAGGCCCTGCGCCTGGTGGTCACGTCAAACCAAGCTTAACAGACAGTAACACAGTCATCCCAAGAGCAGACTTGAGGTGAGCACTAATGCAGCACTTTGCTTTTATTGGCAGATCCTATCTGTGAAATGGGTGTGACGATGCCCATCTCATGCGATAGACATGAGGATCGTATCTGTTCTTCTATGAACCAACCTACACCGTGTCTGCAAGAGACAGGCCCTGGGGGTGATGGTGCCCCCCTTGCCCACCCCACAGGAAAGTGGCTCAGGTGCTGGGTGGGGTGGACGCTCGCAGAGAATACAAGGGAGTCCCAGCCGATGCCACGCACTCTGAAATTGCAGCCCAAGAGGACACGGATGCTCGGGAAAGAAGGTTTTGAAGGTGCCTCCACGGCAGGGGTGGAGCAGGTGGCATCTAGTCAGAGGGGAAGGCACAGACCGGCCCAGACACTCCTGGGTTTTCACTGGACCCATTGCCCACTGTCCAGCCCGATCCTGAAAAATATTAAGATACGTTTATCACACGATTGCTGGGAAGCGGTGCTGCTCCTCTGGGCTTTCGTCTGAAGAACAGTCTTGTTAACGAGAAATGTCCAGTTCCAAGCATGGCTGAAGACTGTGGAGGTGCTGAGAGGGACGGCGGGGGGCACAGAAAGGACCAGAGGCTGGAGCCGCCCCTGGTTGGAGAAGGCTGAGAGGGGGGCAGCCTGGGAGGAGGGGGTCAAGGTCAACATCGCCCCCCGCCCCCCACCCCGCCTGCCCAGACGACTGCCGGGGGCAGACGGATGTCCCTCCTCCCATGGAGACTGGAGCCGCGGGCCCGTCTGGGGCTGCCCCGGGGTCTCCCGCTCCCCCCTGCCCTGACCAGCAAGCAGTGAGCAGACGGCGGTTTCTGCAAGTGCGCGGCGCTGCCCTAAGCTCTGGGCAGCATGCCTGGGGCCCCGTCTCCTGGGGGTGGGCGTGTGGTGGCGGACAGCCTCAGGTCAGCTCTAACAAGCACTTTAAAGGCCAAGAGGTCTGCGATCTTCAGACGAGCCTGTCTCCAACTGCTTTCAGCAGCACACACCCGGGGCATGTCCTCACTGCTGGTGAGACACCCGTGGGCTGTGGCTGAGAAACGGTGTCTGCACCCCAGGTCTGAGCACCCCAAAGCGCAGGCCCCTTGGAAGCGGCAGCTCAAGGCAAAGCCCAGAGCAGGAGCAGTGAAGGGCACCGCCTGGAGCCTGGAGGCTGCAGAAGCGAAGGTCTCAGGAAGAGAGGTGAAAGTGGGGGTCAAGGCCGAGCGAAGCTTTCACACGTTGCCTCCCTCTCCCGGCTCCAGTCCTCGAACCTGCACTCAGCGCCCAGCACAGGAGCGCATAAGCATTTCTAAATCAGGGAAGGCTCTGGAGGCTGCGTTTTGCCAGCCCCTCCTCGTCTTGCCTCTCCTCGTCTCCCACAGGAAGGAGGGGACAGGCTGTCACATGAGTCCCCATACAGGAGGGTCCCCATCCCTCACTTGTGTTACATGTTATAAACTGCTTCGGGGAGCAGGCCTCGATCCCCAGGGTGGCCTTAGCCAGAGGGAACCCGCAGAGAGTGCCTGTGAAGCCTTCTCCTCTCACAGGTGGTGGAGACATGGCCAGGGGCTTTATTGACCACGGAAGGCCTGGATGCTCTGAGAGGGCAGACGCTGGATTCCTTCATTTGTGACGAGTGGAAAAACCCTGCCTCAGATAGGCCTAAATGAAAAGGAAATCTATTCCCTCTCATCAGAAGGGGCTCGGTATCGGTGAGTTCAGTGGCTGCAGTGTCGCGATTGGTGGGTTCCTTTTGCCCGGCCAACCCCAGGGCTGGCTTATCCCTGGGGAGCCGGACGGGCTGCCGCAGCCCCGGCAGTGTCTACTCACAGACCATCTCTGCACAAGGAGCAAGCCCTCCCGGGAGCCCCTCACACGCCCCTTGTCTCCAACGCACAGCTAACAAACCAGCCCCGGGCAGAGGGATGGGGGAAGCCACCCCGGGCCTGCACCTCTTGGGGTCTCCTCTCGGTCAGGGTCGGAATGGCAACTGGAGCCCCCTGAATCACGCAGGGGGAGAGGAATCTTCACAAAGTCGGAATTCTGCTCCACAGGAGGATGGCTGAGTGGAGGAAGCAGGGGTTGGATGAACAGCTACACCAACAGCGCCGGCGTCCTTCCCAGCAAAGAGCTGGTGCGAGTGATGACTTGGCGGTGGTTTCGTGGCTCAGCCGTGTCTGTTTTATGACCCCCGTGGACTATGGGCTCCTCTGTCCATGGGACTTCCCAGGCAAGAATAGCTAATTGCCATTTCCTTCTCCAGGGGATCTTTCTGACCCAGGGGGTCAAACCTGAGTCTCCTGCACTGCAGGTGGATTCTTTACCACTGAGCCACCATGAAGGCCCCCAAATTTCAGGTATGCAGTGACCACGAAGGGAGAATGACTTGCATGGAGCTAATCCCAAGTGTGTCCATGATCGTAAGCGAGGGGACAGGTCCACCGCACCCCCAGCAGTCCTCGGGGAGGCTGCAGTAAGCTCAGCTCTGCACCTCTCGCCTGCTCCCCACCCCAGAAGGCGGCTCTGGAAGCAGACACAAGGCAGCTACTAGGGCGGGGGCAGGCGGGAGGGAACAAGGTGCATTGGAGGAAAAGGTGCAGAAACCCGCTTCTCCTCTATGTCCCTCCAGTCTTTCCAGAGCCTCCAGATCCTACAGGGCTCCCAGCAGAGCTGAGACCTGGTCCCGCCCCTCGGTGCGGTCTGGACACAGCCCACGGGGACCACAGCAGAGATCAGAGCTGGCCCCAGCCCAGACCCATGCCACGGGGACGAGGAAGACGGTGGCTGGCAGGACTGGGTCTCTGCGGGCGCTCTGGGCCTGCGGCCTCAGGATCCCGGGGGGAGCATCCTCCAGTTGTGGTTGTTGCTGTTTAACCGATCGATGCTTCCATTCACATTAAAACTCAAAGTAGAACCTCACCTGCTCTCCAGTGAGGCACAGAGGCGCAGGAGACGAAGCATACGACAGGTACCGCTGGGACGGATCGTGGGGTGCGATGGAGGCTTTTCAGTAAAGGAGTGACGTGGCCTGGCTTACGTCATCAAAAGTGTCTCTCCGGAACTTAGCTCAGAATAGACCTTTTCCTTTTTTTTTTAGTTTTTATTATTGGAGTATAGTTGCTTTACAGTGTCTCATGGCTGACCTCCTCCCAGAGCCGGACGAGGCCCTGGGCGGTGAGTAGTGTTTCTATCAGCCGTAGGGCATGGAGCGAGACTCCCTTATTTGTTTATTTAAGCTTTTTATTTTCTATCGAGGATATAGCCGATTAACAGTGTTGTGATAGTTTCAGGTAAGCAGCGAAGGGACTCAGCCATACATATACACGTATCCGTTCTCCCCCAGACCCCCTCCCATCCAGGCCGCCACGTAACACTCAGCAGGGCTCCCCGCGCAGGTCCGCGTTGGCTATCCACTTTAAACTGTGGACACACGTCCGTCCCAAACCCCCCATCCCTTCCCCTCATTCTTCCCCCTGGCAACCATAGTTTGTTCTCTAAGAAATTCCCTTATTTAAATTGAGAGAAATTTTGTATTAGAAAACATTTATTTGGGGGAACAGATATTGCTAACATAAGAAACTAAGTTGAGCTTTAAAAAAGTACTGATGGGAACTCAGGGGAGCTAAAAATGGAATATTATTACACTGTGTGGTGGAAAAGAGGTGGGCTGCGTATTATTTTACTTCATTTTGTTTGGTTTTGATTTTTGGGGTTCTTTCTTTCCCGTTTTTGGGGGCCGGTTTTCCAAGGTCAGGGCTTCGGCGGGTTTTGTTCTTTTTTTTTTTTTTTTAACCTTTTTTTGCATATTTTTTTTTATTTATTTATTTTAATTGGAGGTGGAGAAGGCAGTGGCAGCCCACTCCAGTATTCTTGCCTGGAGAATCCCAGGGACGGAGGAGCCTGGTAGGCTG